CAAATTCATAGGCTAGCACTGACTTAGAAATGTGAAAGTAGAGATTTCTCAATACATAAAAAAAAATCTGATGGGTATGATGAGGAAAAAAGCAATGTATCTTGATTGCAATCCTAAAAAGTTATAAAAATTTAAACTTGATTTGTTTTTCAGTACTTAAAGGTGCTTAGACACAGATTTGAAGTTAATATTTTCTCAAATTTTCTGTATAATTTTATGACTTATATGTTGATATAGCATTTCATACTAAAATATAGTAAAAATCTTATTTCATCTCCAAGTTATTAAAACTTCAAATTTCTGGATGTGTTGGATTGACACATCCTTGCACTTTCACATATTTTAATTTTATTCTTAATACTTAAGAAAAGTGGCAATTTTGTTGTGTATTAATGAAAAATATTAAAACTATAACCCAGAAAATTCAGAGTAGATATGTTCGAAAGCAAACCCCACTCACAGTATTGTAAGTCCGTGCTCAGTGATGTGTGCAGAGTTTAACAATTGAACACACCCAGTGAATCATAAACATTAACAATAACAGAGCTCGTGCCCTGTTTACAAAAGCAGTTTACGTTTCACGGGTGTGTTCAATTTGTTAAACTCTGCACACATCATTGAGCACGGACTGACAATACCTGGTGAGTTGGTTATGCTTTCGAACATTTCTACTCTTAATTTTCTGGATTATAAATGTAATATTTTTCATTAATACATAACAAAATCGCTTCTTTTCTTAAATATTAAGGATAAAGTTAAAATTTGTGCAAGTGCAAAGATGTGTTAATCAAACGAGTCCCGGAATTCGTAATTCCAATAATTTCCAGATAAAATAAGTTTGTAATTATATTTTCATGTGAAATGCTATTGCAATATATAAGTTGTGATATTATACAGAAAATTTGAGAAAATATTAAGTTCAAATCTGTGTCTAAGCACCTTTAACACATGATAACTGAATTAACCTCTAATTTGTGGATTTGTAAACATTTTTCCTCTGTATTATAGGATTAGTGTCCTGTTTCCTCCATGTTCATCCAAATGGTGCCAGTGTAGACTACATCTGGTCATACCTGTCCCAGCTAAACGTCAACACTCGGACCAGCGAGCTAGAGGAACTTCTGTTGCGTCTCCCTATGTTGTTCAAGCTTAATATGAGTGGAGTGGGGGCGGGGATTGAGAAGAAGTGGCAATTTATTGCTTATTCCAACACATCATTGCTCCCATTCAACTTCTCAACTTAATTTTTAAAATAAACAATTGTGAGATAACAATGTTAAGCTTTACAGCTGACTTGCCAGTATTGCGCAATATTAGTAGTACACATACAGTGTAGTCATTTTGTCTGCTCTCTATGGGCACAGTTTTGAATCTTTTGATACATCAACACTTCACACATGTTATGTTGTTCTGGACTTCAAGAAATTGTAATTTTGTTGTTGATTTATGTACAAATATTTGTTCTTGAGAGTCCTCATTTAATAAATGTTGGAATATCAGTTTTCTAATAATTTAGGATTTTTAAGAAGGGATCATCTTGTTTAGCCAGCTCAGAATAACATCATAATTTCAACACTTGAAGTGTCCAGTGACTTCGACCTTGAGATATATCCCATGAGTCAGGGTCATGAAAATTTTTAGGTAATCGGTAATTACAAATGGTTTAATTTCATTCCGTTGTACTCGATGGTTCCAAAGTCATGGCCCAAGCAAAATTTGAGCATACACAAATTTCAGTGACCTAACCTTTGAGGTGAGACCAAGACAGATCATTGAAAACTTTTATGTCATGGCCAACACATATTAAAGCAATATGAGTTGCATTTTTGAGAATTTTATTTTGGTCTTACAATGTGCTGTTATGATAAATTTGTATGTGATTTAAACCATTATGATCAATTAGACTATAATAAAGTATTAAATTTTTTTCAGAAGAAAGGTTTTTGTACAATGGAATGTATAGTATTATATAAGAAATCAATATTGTACAAGATGAGAGTAATGTAATTTTGCTCCAATGAAAGCTTCTAAATAGTTCTTCCATTGCAAATATGAACAAAAGAAGTTTATAAATGTTCTTTTTTTCTGTCATTGAAATTGTTAATTACAATTTTGCCACAAAAATTTCCGACATCAAAGTTGCAGCTCATATTGCTTTAAATGTTTAGTCTATTCTAACTGAGGGTTCAGAAGTTACTAGTAATACCTAGACACAATTTTGAAACCAATGAATAGACATTTATGCCATACCAGTATGTCTCTGTTCTATGAGGGATAATTATTTTTAAAAAATTAGTTTTATTTTTTTATTAAAATGATAAGGAATGTCACATTTTACAAAATACATAAAATTTGGAAAGCATGAATAAATATAAAGTATATGGAAAGCATGAATAAATACATGTATAGAGTATATATCTCTTATATAAACATAAAAATTAATGCAACGCCTACCCAAAGAGAAGTTAGTACAACAACTTTTTTTTTTTTAATTTACTACACAGCAATGGCATGTTTTTATTATATCTAAAAAAAAAGTGTTGTATAACATGTATAATAAACATACATCAACAAAAGAAGACTAATATAGAGATTACCATTACAATGAGAATTTAGTATTAAAAGAAAAATATCAAACAACGTTTTGAGATAAGAAACTGAAAATGTGTTGAGAATATCACGCTACATAGTTAAAGTACAATGTATATGAAAAGGATCCCACTATCTCTACATACTATAAAAGTCAATTAAAAATAAAATAATTCATGAGAAATGAATTAGTGCATGTATGTAGCTTAAAATCATTGACCATAATGGAAATCGACAACATTTTTGTAAAGTCTAAAACCAATCCCGGCCATATAGGTCGGCTCTATGTTTATAGAAGTGTTCATTTGCATGGAAAGTAATAAATTTTAAAGTCAATAATTGTCATTGACACACACTTTTCAACATTTTTTTCTCTCTTTCTCTACTCTATAAACAAGGGCATTGAACATACTTTCAACTTAACTATAAAACTCATGAAAATAAGAACTAAAGCCATAATAAGCAAATGGATAAGTTTAACAGTATAGATTTTAAATCATTCAAATTCTCAAAATAACGTCTTAAGTTATAAAGTGTTAAAAAAATTGTAAGATTTACCAGGGTGATATTTTCAAAACAGTAGAATTTTGAACAATTCACAATTAAATTTGAATAATTTACAACCAAACCATGCCCAAAAATACAATTGAAATAAGTATCTCATACACTGATATCTCAAATACCATGGATATATGTCTATGTGATTTTGAAGTCCCAACTACTCATTCTTAAGTATTTTACCCTCATTATCTCGACTCCTCAGATATCTCTAATTTTTTCTCTCGGTCCCATTGAGTTCTAGATATGGAGGTTTGACTGTATATATCAATCCAGGCATTGACTTTTATGCCTGTGCAATCAAAAATCAGGGGCATATAGCTTTTGCCCTGTCTGTCTGTCCACAAAACTTTGACCTTGCCCATAACTTTTGATTCGTTGGAGTTAGGCTTTCTTATGCCCTGTTCACACGGAGAGTTTAATTTGCAGTAAATTAATGTGAAGTAAAATGATGCAAATTAAACTAATGCAAATTAAATTGTGTTCACACGACAGCTAATGCAAAGTAAACTAATGCGAATTATAATTTTATTTCTAAAACAAGGCTATTCAGTGAGGCTATTATGACGTCATTTACAAATCACGTCATACTGTGCAGAGCAGATAAACATCTGACATAATATCATAGTGTCTGTACACCTTATAGTGATTAACATAATTTTCCTTTGTTTTTCACTTAAAAATAGCACAAGTACCTATATTTGACCATCAACATGTGGCCTGTGACTTAATTCTGACCTTATAAGCATGTGTCAAAATTTAATTCGAATTAGCTTCACTTAGCGTTCACAGGAGCTAATGCAAAGTAATTTAATGCACAGCAAACTAACTAATTAAACTAATTCGCATGAAATTCTCCGTGTGAACGTGGATCAAATTTGTTCGCAGTAACTTAAGTTTAATTCGAATTAAACTCTCCGTGTTTACAGGGCATTATTTAACATGTTTATTTCTGGTGGTAAGACCTTTCTTTGGGTACCATCATATTTGACCTCTTGACTTAATTTTTGACCCACTTTAGCTCAAATTTACCAAACTTTAATCTTGGCTCTTTTAAACAGTTGGTGCTAGGGTGTTCACATTTCATGTGTAAATTCCTTGTAAGCATAGCGGCATATCTTTTGAGTATAACTATCTTTGACCTTGGAGTTTGACCCACATTTAAAAACGTTAACCTTGGCTATAACTGTTGAATGGTTATTAAAAGTACTACCTGGCTTTCATATTTCACAGGTGTATTCTTGTGACAAGACCTTTCCTTGGATACATGGAGTTTTGACCCTTTGATCTTGATCCTAGAGTATGACCCATTTTTTAAAAAAATTTTTAACCTTGTTCATCACTCTTGAACAGTTGGTGCTAGAACTTTCATATTTCAAAAATGCATTTCTTGTGACAAGACCTTCCCTTACATAACAACATTTTTGACTTTCAGGTTTGACTTGCTTTTTAAAAAACTTTCACTTTGCCATATCTTTTCAATAGTTGGAGTTAGAGCTTTCATGTTTCACAGGTATATTCCTGGAGTCAAGACCTTTCTATGGGTACCAACATTTCTGATATCTTGTCCTTGATCTTGGACTTTGAATTGCATGAGAAACTTGAACCTTCGCCATTAGCTGCTGTACGTGGGCATCGGTGTTTTACAAACACATCTTGTTTTGTTTAATCTCCAACTTGGCATCTTACACAGAAAAATCCAATATATTTAACCTTCTACATGCATAGCAGTTAAAAAGCAAGTTTGTAAGAATTTTTTTTCCATATCAAGGCCATACTCTCTTCTAAGTTGACCAAAATGGTCCATTGAAAGAGTGACAATTGTATTAACAGTACTCAAAAACATGGCAGGTTGATACAGTCCAATGCTGGAATGTTTTTTTTGTTTTTTCCTTCATATTACTGTATAGCAGGTTATTTCAGCGGGGTGCTAATTTTGGCTTATTTTAGCATTTTGTAGTAGCCCACTAAAATTTTATTTGCTAAAATATTAAGTTTTCTTCTTGATGTTCTTTTGCAAAGTGCTGGAACTCTGTGTCCACTGAAATAAATAACGCCCAAATTATTGGCATACCTTTAAGCATGCAAAACGCCAAATTTTACACCCACCAAGAAAACCTGCTATACATTATCAGGAGATATCAGGGGCTCTGTGTCACATTGTCAAATACCCTGTTCAGGAAATTTTGTCTGATAGTTGGCTTAGCCCTCTTGTCATGGAATTCTCTGGCTGGCTCTGTGTCCTCCTGAACAGATATCTTAGTCTCTTCACTCACTGTTATTGCTGAAGATGTTGCTTGGCAGTCATTGGCATTTGCTTCTTCAATAAGTTTATCTTCAACACCTGGCTCATCTTTCTTGGTCTCCTCACTTTGGTCTTTTTCTTCCGTTCTTGTAGTTTTCCCATTACCTTTATTGTTAGTGTACCAATTTCTTAACAATGGGATTATTTTTACCAAAATGAATCCAAAATTGCCACACAATGATATTCCAAAAAATACCCAAGCTCTATATAGCTCATTTTGTTTAGATTCAATGCGACCTTTCAAAAAGTTATTTTGTTTCTCACTTGATTCCAGTATTTTTGCGTTGATTTCCTTCTGTTGCCTTGGTGATGGCACACCTCCATACTTTTGAAAGCATTCAAAAATCAGATAGCTTTCTATAGAAGAATAATGTTCCTGACAGGGAGAGAGACTGTAATTTCTGCAATCTGCTAGAACATTGGGTTGTACAATATTCCCACCAAAATTAAATTCTAAGCAAAAGCCTTGTATTGTTGTTTCCTTCCAACAAACAATATATGTTTCTTTTGCTTTACTACTTACGGCATAATGTGGATAAGTACCATTAGAGCAGTTAATATTTTTTGTATATTCTAGATACTCTTTTTTGTTTCTAGGTATAATGTCAGTTTTTGTCATAATTATTTCTTCCTTTGGAGCCAATGCAGGATCCATCAACGTAATCAAAATGAATGCTCCCAACCATTTCATCATCTTCTTTTGGAATACCATTCTTCCTGAACACTTTTGAATTGATATCCAATGACTTCAATCAATGATCTAAAGCTAAATCAAGAAAGGAGATGGGTGAACATGGCATGCAGAATGCTTATAGCTTCAGATTAATAAAAATCATAATAAATTTGTGAATTCAGTATTTAAAGTAAAGTTCTCATTATTGAAATTTATGAAATTATGATAAACAAAACTTTTCTGAGGAAAATTTTCTTGACAAAAATTATTCTGTTATTAAAACAAGAGGCCCATGGGCCACATCGCTCACCTGAGCACATTGGCTAGGCAAAAGGGGGGGGGGGAGGGGGGGGCTTGAATTTTAAACTACCTGATGATGCTTCCATGTCAATATAACAAATGGCTTTGTTGTACTTGAGAAGATTTTTTAAAAAAAATTCCCATATATTCCTTTGTAAAAATTTGATCCCTCATTGTGGCTCCTCCCTATCCCAGGGGTCATCATTTGAACAAACTTGAATCTACACTACCTGAGGATGCTTCCATATCAATATGACTAAACATAGCTTTTCTGTTCTTGAGAAGAAATATTTTTTCTATATGTTCTTATGTAAAACTTTCCATCCCCCATTGGGCCCCATCCTACCCCTGGGGGTCATCATTTGAACAAAATTGAATCTACACTACCTCAGGATGCTTCCATATCAATATGACTAAACATAGCTTTTCTGTTCTTCAGAAGAAGATATTTTCCTTTATATTTCTATGTAAAACTTTGATCCTCCATTGTGGCTCCGCCCTACCCCCGGGGGTCATGGTTTGAACAAACTTGAATCTACACTACCTGAGGATGCTTCCATATCAATATGACTAAACATAGCTTTTCTGTTCTTGAGAAGAAATATTTTTTCTATATGTTCTTATGTAAAACTTTCCTTCCCCCATTGGGCCCCACCCTACCCCTGGGGGTCATCATTTGAACAAAATTGAATCTACACTACCTGAGGATGCTTCCATATCAAAATGACTAATCATGGTTTGCAGTTCTTCAGAAGAAGATATTTTCCTTTATATTTCTATGTAAAACTTTGATCCTCCATTGTGGCTCCGCCCTACCCCCGGGGGTCATGGTTTGAACAAATTTGAATCTACACTACCTGAGGATGCTTCCATATAAATATGACTCATCATGACTTTGCTGTTTCTTTGAGAAGAAGATTTTTAAAGATTTTTCCTATATATTTCTATGTAAAACTTTGATCCTCCATTGCGGCCCCGCCCTACCCCTGGGGGCCATGGTTTGATCAAATTTAAATCTACATTACCTCAGGATGCTTCCATATAAATATGACTCATCATGGCTTGCTGTTCTTGAGAAGAAGATTTTTAAAGATTTTTCCTATATATTTCTATGTAAAACTTTGATCCTCCATTTCGGCCCCGCCCTACCCCCGGGGGTCATGGTTTGAACAAACTTGAATCTACACTACCCCAGGATGCTTCCATATAAATATGCCTCATCATGGCTTTGCTGTTCTTGAGAAGAAGATTTTTAAAGATTTTTCCTATATATTTCTATGTAAAACTTTGATCCTCCATTTCGGCCCCGCCCTACCCCCAGGGGTCATGGTTTGAACAAACTTGAATCTACACTACCTGAGGATGCTTCCATATAAATATGACTCATCATGGCTTTGCTGTTCTTGAGAAGAAGATTTTTAAAGATTTTTCCTATATGTTTCTATGTAAAACTTTGATCCTCCATTTTGGCCCCGCCCTACCCCCGGGGGTCAAGATTTGAACAACTTTGAATTTTCACTACCTGAGGATGCTTCCATATAAATATGACTCATCATGGCTTTGCTGTTCTTGAGAAGAAGATTTTTAAAGATTTTTCCTATATATTTCTATGTAAAACTTTGATCCTCCATTGCGGCCCCGCCCTACCCCCGGAGGTCAAGATTTGAACAAATTTGAATCTACACTACCTGAGGATGCTTCCATATAAATATGACTCATCATGGCTTTGCTGTTCTTGAGAAGAAGATTTTTAAAGATTTTTCCTATATATTTCTATGTAAATTTTTGATCCTCCATTGTGGCCCCGCCCTACCCCCGGGGGTCATGATTTGAACAAACTTGAATCTACACTACCTGAGGATGCTTTCATATAAATATGACTCATCATGGCTTTGCTGTTCTTGAGAAGAAGATTTTTAAAGATTTTTCCTATATATTTCTATGTAAATTTTTGATCCTCCATTGTGGCCCCGCCCTACCCCCGGGGGTCATGATTTGAACAAACTTGAATCTACACTACCTGAAATTGCTTCCATATAAATATGACTCATCATGGCTTTGCTGTTCTTGAGAAGAAGATTTTTAAAGATTTTTCCTATATATTTCTATGTAAAACTTTGATCCTCCATTGCGGCCCCGCCCTACCCCCGGGGGTCATGATTTGTACAAACTTGAATCTACACTACCTCAGGATGCTTCCATATAAATATGACTCTTCATGGCTTTGCTGTTCTTGAGAAGAAGATTTTTAAAGATTTTTCCTATATATTTCTATGTAAAACTTTGATCCTCCATTGTGGCCCCGCCCTACCCCCGGGGGTCATGATTTGAACAAACTTGAATCTACACTACCTCAAGATGCTTCCATATAAATATGCCTCATCATGGCTTTGCTGTTCTTGAGAAGAAGATTTTTAAAGATTTTTCCTATATATTTCTATGTAAAACTTTGATCCTCCATTGCAGTCCCGCCCTACCCACCGGGGTCATGATTTGAACAAATTTGAATCTACACTACCTGAGGATGCTTCCATATAAATATGACTCATCATGGCTTTGCTGTTCTTTAGAAGAAGATTTTTAAAGATTTTTCCTATATATTTCTATGTAAAACTTTGATCCTCCATTGTGGCCCCACCCTACCCCCGGGGGTCATGATTTGAACAAACTTGAATCTACACTACCTGAGGATGCTTCCATATAAATATGACTCATCATGGCTTTGCTGTTCTTGAGAAGAAGATTTTTAAAGATTTTTCCTATATATTTCTATGTAAAACTTTGATCCTCCATTGCAGCCCCGCCCTACCCCCGGGGGTCATGATTTGAACAAACTTGAATGTACACTACCTAAGGATGCTTCCACATGAGTTTCATCTTTCCTGGCCCTATGGTTCTTGAGAAGAAGATTTTTAAATGATGCCATTATTTTTTCAGTAATTCCTAATTATCTCCCCTTGAAAGAGGGCGTGGCCCTTCATTTGAACAAACTTGAATCCCCTTTACCCAAGGATACTTTGTGGCAAGTTTGGTTGAAATTGGCCCAGTGGTTCTTGAGAAGAAGTCGAAAATGTGAAAAGTTTACAGACAGACAGACAGACGGACAGACAGACAGATGGACAGACAGACGGACAGATGGACAGACAGACGGACGCCGGACAAAATGTGATCAGAAAAGCTCACTTGAGCTTTCAGCTCAGGTGAGCTAACAAGAGGCCCAAGGGCCTTGAATCGCTCTTCTGATAAACTGTACAGCCTATCACTTCTATTTGAAGCCTCTAAGTATCCTGTATATTTAGATAAAGCCTTGAAATTCCAAAGGTAGGTCATCATGACCTATATTAAGAAAAAAACACTCTGAGAACCCAAGATGATTCTAAGCCAATTAGTACCTGAGAGTAGGTCATGGTGACCTACCTATCACTTGTCATACTCTGAGGACCCAAGATGCATCAACTAAGTTTGATGATTCTAAGCCAATTAATACCTAAAATATTTTTAAAATTATAACTATAAAATTTTAAAAGTAGGTCACAGTGATATTTTTTCAGATGACATACTTTGAGGACCCAAGATGCATCAACTGACAAAGTTTGATGATTCTAAGCCAATAAGTACCTGATGTATCTAAATAAAGCCATAAAATTTCAAAAATAGGTCACAGTGACAGGGTTCAAAATTCACTATATACAACTCGCAAAACGCGAGTTAGAATTCCCAAATTGCGAGTTAAAAATTAGGTAACTTGCAAAAACTTGCGAGTTGATTTTTTTTTGCATTGAAACTGTAGCAAAATTATATAATATGACAGAACACAATGCTTTTGATTTAAATCAGAAATTTGAATAAAAGTCACACTGTAGTTGTACTTTGTGTATTCTACAGTAGTTACTTTTTCCTTAAGTTACATGTATTTAATTTATATAAATTTAACTTTATATGAAAATTGCGAGTAGTCTTATAAAATTGCGAGTTCACTTTCTTGGTACTCGCAATTATTTGCGAGTTGTAATTTTAGGGAGTTTCTAACCCTGAGTGACCTCCATATTAGTCGACTAACTCTGCAGACCCAAGATGCATCAACTGACAAAGTTTGATGATTCTAAGCCAATTAGTACCCGAAATATTTAATTATAGTCATATAAATTGAAAAGTAGGTCACAGTGACATCTTTTCAGATGACATACTTTGAAGACCCAAGATGCATCAACTGACAAAGTCTGATGATTCTAAGCCATGAAGTACCGGATGTATCTAAATAAAGCCATAAAATTTCAAAAATAGGTCACAGTGACCTCCATACTAGTTGACTAACTCTGCAGACCCAAGATGCATCAACTGACAAATTTTGATGATTCTAAGCCAATTAGTACTCGAAATATTTAATTAAAGCCATAAAATTTTCAAAAGTAGGTCACGGTGACCTACTTTTCAGTCGACCTACTCTGAAGACCCAAGATGCATCGACTGACAAAGTTTGATGATTCTAAGCCAATTAGTACCCGAAATATTTAATTATAGTCATATAAATTGAAAAGTAGGTCACAGTGACATCTTTTCAGATGACATACTTTGAAGACCCAAGATGCATCAACTTACTAAGTTTTATGATCTTAGGCCTTAAAATGTCAAAATTATGCCTCTAAAACGCTTTGAAATCGAATGCCTCAAAGTTCAAAAAGTAGGTCACGGTGACCTTCTTTTTAATAAATATGTTTTACGGCCCCAAGATGCATCATCTTACAAGATTTAATGATTCTAAATCTTTCAGTATTCGAATTAATGACCA